GAAATGACAAAGTTATAGGCTGTTTCAAGCTTCCCCATTATAGCCTTTGGATGAAACGTTACAAACAGTGTCAAAACAGCAAAACTATTTTGACTAAACGAAATGGAACAGCAGTTTTGAATTGAAATGAAATTTGAACCAAAACGTCGTTCCGTCAAAACGCAAGTCAAAATGGAACGGTGCCATTTCGCACAGCCCTACTGTCCACTAACAATAGGTGAGAAAGAAAATAAAGTGACTGGAGTAAAGATATGGACTCTGAGAGGAGAGAAATTTAGCTAGACAATGTATAGTTATGACCTGATTCCAAAGAGTGTTTCTGTTTGTAGTTAATTTTTATATGACAAAGCAGGAAAAGGAAATGATAAAGATAGAAAACAAAGAAGCCTGTATATTCCAAGACCTCAGCACAAGTTACACTAATAAACACAATATATGTTTCACAATTCATGTGAAACAATGTCCATAGGAAATACTACCAGAAGTAACCAGATGACACAAAAAAATTCACATACAGCTTTATTGACTATCACTAGTGGAGAGCTTCTGTGATCACAGGAAAGCCAAAATAAATGCTAAGCTGTTATTTTAAAAATTCTGGAGTTTAGAAATTTCTGAAATAAAACAATGTAATCAATGAAGTCTTACAAAAGAAAGAAAATGGCACCAAATGGAAAGTCATCACTAGAGTCTACACAAAGCAATTTACACTGCTGTTCCCTGCAGACTTTGACGTGAAGTCAAAAAAAAAAAAAAGACAGAAACCAGTTTAAGGGAAACCTGGTTGCTAGGTCACAAAGTGCAACCTTCTTTTGTTCATTAATTGCCATTCTGGAGACTACCATTATTGCCAAATTAGTGAGTGCTAAAATGGATTTAGAGCAATGACTTGCATATAACATAAAGGTGGTTAAAATCACTCAAGATGTGTACATCAGTAAAAGGCGCTGCGGTACCTGTCTCAGGCTGTGTGAGAGAAACAACAGACAAGGGAAGCATAATCACTGCAAAAAGAAAAGGCAAAGTAGAAGCCACTCTGATCAGCATTGAAAAAGCTTTTCTGCTTTTCAGTCAGAAAACAGCTTTGATTGCTACCTTTGGACAGGAAGCCACTATACAGCTTTAAATCACTGACAGCACAGTGCTCTGCATCAGCTAAACTAAAACCCCTCCGCTGGATCCAGGCCATGTAGCAGACCAAGACTCAGGACAGTGGTTCTAAACCAGGGTTCCCTGGTGCTGTAGAATGCTACAATGTTAGTACTTTTATATATGCAAACATGTTTCACAAAATAAAACCAGAGATTTCAAATATGAATCCATGGTGTTAAATACATTCTCAGTTCTTTGCAACAGAAAAAAAAATCTCTATTGGCATTCTCTAGTCAAAAAAACAAGCAAAAACTAAAAGCTGTCATTTTCCGAGGAGTGCCTTGAATCTAACCAGGAGTCTAATGAGAAGATGCCTTGAGTCTAAAAAGGTTGAGACCATGGGCTTAGAGCTATTTTCTGGACAAGGGATGGCAAGGCTGTTAAAGAGAGGTGATGCTTTGAATCCCATGGAAAGCAGGTGCTAACTGCACCGCTAGTAGGTAATTAATGGAGCAGTATTAAGAATGGGTTTGGAAAAGGTCACACAATCTGTGCAAATGTAAATACTAAAACACAGAAGAAAGGTGCATCTCCACTGCAGTATGGGTACAGCTATAGTAGCAAAAAGCACAGCACCACTAGCCACTGACCTCTGGACTCATGCAGCTATACTATGACTGGTATCTGAGTTAACAAGTTTAAAGCTTTGAGTATGGATGGAAACAGACATGAATCTTCATTACCTTGGTGCCACCACAGAAAGATTTATGGCAGCAAAAAGGCCAAGCAAATAACTGTCCATACCCCTTGTAGAGCTATACACTGTGGCCGTGATGAAGGCGGTGTCAATTTGGGCTGCTATATAGTGGCAGATGTCTATTCCATGGCAGGAGAGTACTGGCAGCCCGGAGCTGCCCACATTCTTCAGCCTCCATGGGTAGGTGATCTGAGGACTCAAGAGGCCCGATCCTGCACAGCCCAGGAATTTCTGTGCAGGATCAGGACCCCTTGGGAACACCTGTATGGCTTTCCCCACTTACTGAGATGTGCCCCCAGGATCTCTAGGGTGTGCTTTACTTCCCCTGAGCATCCCCAAGGGACACCCCAAAGATCCCAGAGGCATATCTCAGCAAACAGGGAAAACTGGGCAGGCACTCCCAGGGCTTGAGAGGCCTG